GGAATTATGGAATAAAATCTAAATGTTTTCTAGATAGAATAAATCTGAATAAGAGAAAGAGATTAAAAGTCTACATCTTTCTGTAAAATATATACAGTACTTTACTGAGATCCTGTCAGACACATTTAGTAGACAGTATTTGTTGAGCAAAAATGTTTTCCTCAGGCAGCCATCCTGAAAACGTTAAAAAAATACATTCAACTACAGTATGGAGGTAGAATTCCCTAAGCTTACCACTGAGCAGCTCTTTCCAAAATCTCTTCTAAATCATCATATTAGAGCAGTCTTTACATCATAAACCACTTATTGTTTCTCACTCTATTATGTTTAATAGACATTTTAAATATTAACTTCTTTGATACCCTGAAACAACATAACATCTTTATCACAAATTAATTCACTATTAATATAAACCGTTAGTAGTAATTATGAATATTAAACAGTTGTTAAAAATGAAGGCATATGCAGTTGTTATTACTAGATTTTTATTCTGCTTTTGATTAGATAGCTCAGGGCAGCAAACAAAACTTCATATTCCTGCCTTCTATTTTTCCCACAACAACAACCCTGTGGTGGGTTGGGCTAAGAGAATAACTGCCCCAAAGGCACCTAGTTGACTTTTATGCACAAGGATAGAAGTTAGCATGTCTTACGGAAAGCAGACTATGCAGTCTCCTATAATCTCCTAATGTCAAACAGAAGGAATTCATCTACTGCTTTGCTATCACATTTCATTACTTGTCCTTGCAGGAGCTGGAGTAGCCTTGCTCAATGACCACATCTATGTGGTTGGAGGGTTTGATGGAACATCACATCTCTCCTCTGTGGAAGCTTATAACATTCGTACAGACTCTTGGACAACAGTAACAAGCATGACAACACCCCGCTGTTATGTGGGGGCAACAGTGCTCCGTGGAAGGCTTTATGCCATAGCTGGGTAAGCAAATGGTGCCTATGGAATTAACATTTATGATTGTTAAATGTTCTAGGTATCCCTGACACTTGCTTTGTTTTATGGAATTATAGGCTACATATTCTATACCTCTCCAGATACCATTTATTTTGGGTATAATTAGATACTGTGTGCATACATGATGTTATCCTATTCAAATCCTTTAAAGTCATTTCTGCTTTGATGGTATCTGTGCTTTGGTTATATGGTGTATATCACAGGCCAATCACGTTTCTGCAGTTTGTATGTTTGCTCCAAGTTACTTAGATCACAGGGTTTTACCTGAAGTGAAACACCTGGAGGGGACCATTTTGGGGGAATTCTGATACAAGTTTGAAACCAAATATATTAAAAAATAAGATTGTTTTATGTCTCTGTCAGGTCAACAGAACCAACAGCTTTCGGAAGTATGTAAGATGACGGTGCATTCTGGTTTCATTGCCAGATTATATATATTCATAAAATACACTTGTCCTTATCCTAAATTTCTTATCAAAATGGAAATTGGTCTATTGTATAGTAATGAGTAAAAGTAGATAAGAGTCCTCAACTTATGACCACAATTGGGCCCAAAATGTATGTTGCTAAGTGAGACATTTGTTAAGTGAGCTTTGCCTCATTTTACAACCTTTTTGCCATAGTTAAGTGAATCACTGCAGTTGTTAATTTGGTAACATGGTGGTTAAGTGAATTTGGGTTCCCCATTGACTTTGTCAGGTCGCAAAAGGGGATCACATGACCCCAGGACACTTCAATTATCATAAATATGAACCAGTTGCCAAGAAGCCAAATTTTGATCACATGACCATGGGGATGCTGCAATGGTTATAGATGTGAGGACTGCCTGTATAGCAAACTTTGCCTTATGCTAATTTCTGAATAGCTTTAAAAAGCTCTTAGAAGAGCTTTATTTTCCTGTGACAAAGGTATTCTAATAGTTCTGACTCTGAATCTGGACCTCAGCAAGGTTTCATCTGTAAATCTCTGTTGTATACAGGTATGATGGAAACTCACTCCTGAGCAGTATTGAATGCTATGATCCTATCATAGACAACTGGGAAGTGGTGACATCACTAGGAACCCAACGTTGTGATGCTGGTGTTTGTGTACTACGAGAAAAGTGACTTTAAGAAAGGCTTGGGAGAGCACTTCCGTGGAACAATTACCAGAAAAAGCATTGCCTGACTTGGAATTATTGATCCTGTAGCTGTGAATTAAGTCACTTTTAATATCTGGACTATGCTGCAAATTATCAACAGATCTACTGATTCTGGTTTGAAGAAAAACCCAGCCACAATGCACTTTGACTTGACAACGGATGAACTGCATGCTTGTGTAGACTAACTCTGTAAAAATGAATCATCAGAGCTGCAAGAATGTCTGCTTGCTGAATATCTAAGTCCGTCATCTCAGTTGTCTCTAATCATCAGCACATACTCATTGAGCTTTGACCACATCCAAAGTTCTGTTTGTTCCTGAATATTTTCATATACCAAATATGCTGATGAACATCATATGAGCAGACCAAACTTTTTGGGGATACTTTTTCAGATTCTGCACCAGCTTGCCCATGTTCTTCTGGAAAGCAGCCAGGAACCAACTGATCAGTGAAAATGAAACATTATGTATGTCGGTATACAAACTTGACATATGCAATACATAAGGTGGGGCAAAGGGCAGACAGGAAAATTACCTGCTGGGATATGCAGTCATATCTGTTGGGAAGAACAAGAGGCAGGCAGGCAGGCAGGCAGGCAGCACTAGAACTTTAAATATTTTTTAAAAATACCAGAGACTAGAATCAATATGCACTAGAGGAAAAAAAAGGTGTTAGTGCTTAAGCAACAACCAGGTTTATGTTTACATTTGCCTTCTAAGCTACAAACTCTTGCCAGTAGCAGAACAATGAAGGATGTCCTTGGCATCTTGAGTGCAGCAGTTATTTATAAATATGCTTTTGAAGAAAACCTCTACCCAAGGTACTTTTTAGGAACTGGATGTGCCCACGCACTACGAGTTATCACTTCAAATCATAAGAGACTCCCAAAGTTACAGTGGTCACCTTCATGTTGCACTGCAAATACGGTTGAAATGTGATGCCGATAAAGGGATTGCAGTGTATATGTCCAGAATGAATGTCAGTACACATTTTTTGCATTTCAGTTGTGTTATTCTGTATTTCTTGTGCTTTCAGCCAGAAAGGCTAACCACCTCCATATCCACTAAGGATTTTTGAATAATCATCTCCAAAGTGAGCCAGAACTGTTGACTTGCTCAAGCCATTCCTCTGTGGTGGCACCTAAGATTCCTAGCTCCCAATCTCCTTAATATGCCTCTGATATATAATGCAGTTTGTATTAGATATGTGAAGACAAGTCACTTTGCTGATGGAAACATAACCCTGTGGATAATCCCTCAATTATGTGCTGTAGCTTTCAGTGTGACCTTGGCATTTTCTCTCATGAAACTACTGAGGCTTTGTGTGTGTTAGCCAATCAGAAACCAAGGGATGAATGTATTTATTTTCTTGGGTGTGGGTGACTTCTTGCTTTGGGGATAGGGGTACAATAGACTAATTATGCACTTTCAAACAACATTGATTTAAAAGCCCTGACCTATCACACTAGTGTTTGATTCCTTTCATATGTATTTTTTAATAAAAGGATGGCTGGTTCAAATATTTGATATATCCATATAGGTTGGTTATACTTGCACTATTTATTAAGTACTGTGTTAGTTTCTAGATGTCACTGATTTTAAAAAGGCCAAATGTAATGTTGCCTAAGAGCATATCATCTATAACTCTTTGAAGGCTTACCTAGATTTCCAAATGCAGCTATGATTATATAATAGGGATTTTAAATTTTCCTGGCCTCTGGGTTTTGAATTTGTATTTTATTTTGTTAAGAGACAATACCATTCTTTAATCATATTGCAATATTTTTAAAAAGATAACTGAAACCTTCATCACCCTCATTAATATAGAAGGGATTTTATTGTGAAAATAACTAAACTAATATTGCTATGGCTATTACTTAAAAATCAACAGTGTTAATATTGAAGTACATTTTTTTACAACTAGAAAATAACTAATTTCATATAGTTTTCGGTCTAAGCATCATGAAAAGATTAAGACAGCTATTAAGCTACATCTATAGAATTCCCGGATTTTATTAGTTATCTACATAATTTCATGTTTATATTATATGAGCTCTCCATTTGCTGTTCGTAATTACAGTAAACTTTTGGGACTTTTATGAGACCTATGACAATACTCTTCATGATAATGAAAGAGCAAAAGAGGTTACAGCATAATAGCCATGCAGTGAGTCCATTTGCACTTGATAAAAATACTAAGAATTAAAACCACTTGTTTAGAAAATGTTTAGCAGTCCTTCGGTAAGTAAAAACAAAATTTAATTGGCACAACGAACCGTTGTCTGCGATCACCCGGACTTCAGGATCCGTTATTTGAAACTTGCTCCTTCCGAAGCGAAGGTGGCATTTTCATAGGAAATTATGGGAAATTGGCGTCTGCTAAAGTGAACTTCTAATAAATAACCGACGCAGAAATGTTTGGACACGCTTTTTACTATGTCTATGAGCTGCCTAAGTCACCTAATAGGTACTAAAACCTACGTATAGCTGTAGCCGCATGTAAAGTAGAGTCTTCAAGTCGAAGCCCTGCAATTATCGGAATTGGATCAAACTAGCCGGTATCTCTAGTACCTAGTTTTACTTTTTAATCTCTTCCTGGGTCTCCAATGTTATGTTGTGATCCTTGGTTTACTGAGGTAGAGGGGACTTCAGCGGCAAGCACAGCAGAGGGCACCTGTAAAGCTTCTCCACCCACCCACCCGGTTTCAAGAGGACTCTCCCACTTACATATATGCGGTGGACAGGAGGGTAACCCGGTCCCGCCTATCCGGTAGAGCGGGATTGCCTGACTTCGGCATCGTTAAGGACTTCAATTCCCAGAATTCTCTAGTTGGGTGGAGAGTTGAAGTCCCCAGTTTCAAGTTGCTGAAGTCGAGAAACGCCGCCGTGAAGACTCTCCTCCCTTGCTCTATTGCGCTTGCGTAAGTATGGCGGCGCCCAGTTCGGCGATGGAGGCGGCTGCACTGGGACCGGAGGAGCTTGTGTGCGCGAGTGGGCGGAACCGCAAAGCCGTGCTTTGCCAGCGCTGCGGCTCCCGCGTCCTTCTGCCAGGAGCTGCAACCTTCACTCGCAGAGAGGTAGGGCGTATTCGGCTCTCCGCTGTGTTGTAGTCCGTGGTGGTAGCCGTCTAACTCCCCCGTCTAACTTCCAGCCTCGGATGAAATCGGAGTTGCCAATCCCTTGATCGACAGGTGGATTTAAACAAAGCTAACCTTTCTGAGGATGGAAAATTGTTTGGATTAGATCCCTAATGAAAAAAAAAAATCCCTTTCCTCCTAGGCCTTCCAATCTGGCTGAGTGGGATGCATAAAGTACTTTGTCGTGGTAATGAAATATACCCGAAATTAAATCAAGGATCTAAATCTAGCAGCAACTTGAATACCTCTGCTTGACAGCTTTGTATTTGACAATGTCCTGGAACTCCCCTCTCCACTATGCCTGGCACTATGTGGCTGCTTTCATAATTGTATCCCAAACTAGCTGGCTTTAGGGTCTCCTGATTTTTCACTCTCAGTAATGCAGTAGTGTGGGTTGCTTTGGCCCAAAGACACACTGCAAATGTGATTAAGTAGAAACTTGAACCAAGGCTCCCCATCCATCTCCAATGTCTTCACCTTACATTGGCTCAGTAATAACAAAAGTCTTTTGTTATTTGACAGTTGTTTCTTCCTGCTATGAAGAAGAAGACGGCTTTGGTGACAAATGGTGACCTAGAAGGGGATGTCTTGCAGGACCACTGGCTAGTTGAAGACATGTTTTCTTTTGAAAACGTTGGTTTCACCAAGGATGTTGGAAATGTAAAGTTCCTGATCTGTGCAGACTGTGAAATTGGTCCTATTGGCTGGCATTGCTTGGATGATAAAAAGAGTTTTTATGTAGCCTTGGACCGTGTTTCTCATGAATGAAATGCTCATAGGTGACCAAAAGTGGTTCCTAGGCACCTGGTTATGCCACATTCTAAATAACTTTCCAAGTTCCTCAATATGTAGGCTTGAAACTGGCACAAATGAAATACCCTTTTCAGATGCATCAATGGAAGTGCTTCTATTGCTTGTTGAATTGCAACCCATTTGAACCTGACCAAATTTGTACTGATATTTAATAAATTATGTGCATATACTTTGAAATACACAATTACATGCAAATTGGCAATTCAATTTCCTTAATGAAAAAGGGAAGATAATCCTGAATTTTGTCCTCTGAAAAATAAGAGTGTAATACAACAGGGAATAAGGCTTCTGATTTATTGGGAGACAAGGGAGCATACCATATTGTGATTTATGGCTTTCTGCTCTGTTCTGGTAAAAGAGTAAACATTTGTGATTTTGATGTTTACCGATATCTAATGTTTACAAATATCTGAATTTTCACTTCATGATCATTGTTAATTAAAAGCCAGTCATTAGTTACAGGTCATCTTAAATATAAAAATAGTCAAACCACAGGAAGTAATAATGGAAAATGGAAACTGAATTTTTAAATTTAATTGAAATCATGCATTTTAATTTATATATTGTATATATTGGAAGTACCAATGGTTAATGAAAAAGGGCTCACTCTAATAGGTGTAATCTTACATTTTCTGTATAAAATCTCCATTATTAATCTTTTTTCTAAAGCTACTGTAACACAACTCATTACTGTTATCCCTTGTGAATTACCCAGAAATCATTTAGTCTAGTTGGGAATGCTATCTGAATGTGGGCCCTTTATTTTTCATCTGTCTAGAAGAAAATAGAGAACTTAGCCATGTTTTGTTCTCTGGTTTCTAGTGTACCAAACCCCTCATTTAGATGTCAAGTTTAGAGTGTTCTCCAAGGCTTGGGAGTAGGTTGGGTATTGAACCAATCAGTTGCCTTTTGTTATACTGTACTATTTGGCAATATGCCTGTTTCTTTTTTGTTCACTTTTATGATTCCTTTTAATTTTAATTGTAAAACTTCCAGGGTTGTTTGGACTTGGGGTGCCTCTGAATTTCAGTAAATAAAAATAGGTTTTGTGAAAAATGGTCAGCTTGTTAGCTATGTGCCCTTCATGGGCTGGATAACTCCCAGGGAAAGGGCATATTTATATCTTAATTTTAACCAAGCTCAGTATGACAAGAATGTTGTTAAAATGCTACTGTGATTCTGTTCTGTGTATTAATTTAAAGAAAATAACGTTAGGTGATGTTTGTTTTTTCTTTGATTTAAATTTCTCAGAACTCAGTCTTCTCCCCAGGATTCTTAAACTTCCAGGAAAAATCACTTGAATTTTGTTGTTATATGATGTTTTGTATTGCAACACCTTTTCTATCACTGAATTCTGGAGTTTGTAGAATTTTTAAGTGCATGTCTTAGTACACTTTAAAAAAATGCATATGTAAGAGTAAACTGAAATGTAATGCAGGTAAGGTTCCATCATTGTGGAATGGACAGGCTAGTCATTCTGTTAGAAGTATTTATTTATGAAAAGTTAAATGTATTACTGCTTTCTTAGTAGTGATGGAGAAAAACAGACTACTGGCTGGTGCCACAGGGGTCAGTTGTTTCCATCACTATTTTAAAAAATACAGTGAAACCTCTAGAGTTCATTTGGAAGTTTTCAGTAAGATTTAATCAGTATGGTGCTCGGTTATCCGTTGTTACTCCAGGTGCCATAAACTTTTATCTCAGTGCCTGAAGTGTCTGGAGGTATAAGCAAACATATTTATTTTTCCTGTTAAATATCCTACTGCCCATAATGTTCCCACTTCAGTCATACATCAATTCATGTTTGTGAATTGTATATATAGGTTTTGCATCTCTGGATATCTGTATAAGTTTGGACATTCAGAAATAAAGATCAGTGGTACACAACACTGACAAAATTTCAGTGAGTTCAGTTTCACTGCAAAAGTAGCTTTGCTGCATAACCCATTCTTCAGACTACATTCATAGTTTCTAAATGCTGTAGGTACCAAATATGTACAGGATAGGTATAAGAGACTAGTACTTGTGTCTAATTTTACACTTGCATGTCATTTTATCAGCTAGCTGGAGAGCAAGCCTAATTCAATGCAGAAGATTTGGGGATTGGGGCTAGAGATCACAAAAAATGACTTTCTGGGTTTTGCTGGATAATTCAGCTGTCATTGCTCTCTTCCAAAAAAAATGACTCCTCCTATTAAACAAGTCTGTCATCTTGAAGTACATTGTGATGCATCTGAATACAAGCTGGGAAACAATTTGACATAATGAAATGTTTCTTCTTGCTGCATAGAGCCTGGTGACATTTCCATGTTAAATGTCTACCGCATGGTGGCACCAGTATTCTATGAATGGGAAGATACTTGCTGGAAGATCTTAGACTAGCTCTGCTAAAATGAAAAAAGGGCTTTGTTAAATCCCTAATGCTACAAGTAGCAACATTTTTATTATGTTATCTGAAATATTGCTACAGACAAATCAATACATAGAGCATCCTCAAGGAATATTTTTCATGTTTTGTTAATAAGAAGTATAATAAATAAGTTTAGCATGTTATGTAAATCAGCTATTTATAAAATACTTGGCCTGAATTTTGAAACAGAAATCAACAATACATCACATTTTTCTGCTTGACAAATGCATGTTTCAGACTTTTGCAATAGATCTTAATACTTCAAAAGAAGAGGAATTAATTTGATACACTATCTCATTCCACATGGCAAATCAAACTTACCAAATGAACTAAATTGGATTTTGTTATATATGTCAGATGCAAATGAGGGATACATCGCTTGTAGTACCATGATAGATAAGTATCGGAAGTGTGATGCAACTAGATAATTCTTGGTTTTGTTTTTTTAAAAACTTAAATCCTGTAAACACTTAGAACATATTAACCTCTTTCTTATGTAATGTATGGAGGTACTATTGTAAGCTGGCTGTAGGAGGAAATAGCGGTATTTCAAGACTTTTTGCAGTTTTATTTATAAAATAACATTCTGGGAAGAGAACAGTATACTCTTATAAAGAAAACAATTACAAAATGATAATTCATTGCTTTGGAAAAGGGTTTGTTTTTATGTTCATTTTTGTTATGTTCACATTTTTAAATGGTTGCATACCGGCCTTCCTATTGTGATAATAGCTTTTTTAGAAATAAATGTCTGAAATTTTTTAAAAATGTTCTTTTTTAAAGTGCTCAAAATGCTGCCATCTAATGACCATAATCTTTGCAGTATATTCTATAGCAATTCAATTACAAAATGAGAGCATTAAATGACATCAACCCTATTTTTTTAATATGGAAAATATTGTGAACTTTAACCTGTGAATGTAGTTCTTTTCTCCAATACTTTGGAGTGAAAATATCTGAATCTTGCAGAATCAGATTAAATGAAATATTGTATAATGAATAACAAATGAACTTTTCTTCTGCAACAAAACAATCATCTTGCAAAAGCCTAAATCTCAGTTATTTTCTAATGAACAAATTATAAATTAATTTGAACAAATTAAAATGGCAGATTTTAAAAAATGTATTTTTCAGTTAGAATCACTTAGATTCAAGGGAAACACTGCAGTTTATAATTTAAAATAAAGAGGTGTTATATGGTATTTATTCTAAACTAGCTGGATACCCGTGCTTTGCGACAAAACTATGTGATCAGGCTATGCAGGAGAAATTTGGTTCACAATCCGTTGGCTCAGTGGTGGTCGGTAATTGAAACACATAATGGTTTCCTTTCCATTCTTCCTTTCCTTTCCTTTCCTTTCCTTTCCTTTTCCTTTTCCTTTCCTTTTCCTTTCCTTTTGTGACAGATATTGTCACAAAGCCTATCATTGAGATTTATTTATTTATACTCATGCTTTCTGCTCAAAGAAGCATCAAGGTGTTTAAGAGGTTTTTTTTAAAAAAAAAATCACACACAACAATGTAAAAACTAAATAATAGTGATACTAAAATCAGAGCTATTATATCTGGGTTGCAAAACTCCATGCATATCACATGTATTGCCATCTGGGTTTTTGCAGCCCAAATCCAATTGTTCATTCAATGTTTCTGATTGTGAGCTGATGAATGTACTAAAAACAATATAACAACTAATTGTTTAATTAAAGAGCTACAACTTTACAGCTATTTAAAACTTGAGAGATCTGAGCCAAACCCAACTTCCAAGGAAGCATATTCCATAGTTTGTGAGCAGCACATGTATAGCCCCTCTCCTATGCATAGGATGACAAGCTTCGGACAGTGGGGTATCTTCAAAATACTCTCCCACCAGAACTTAATGCCTATATTTATGAGATCTCAAATCTTTTAGGGATTTGACAACCAACACCAACATTAAACTGTGTACAATAAGTAATTTTCCCAGAATGTTACTGGGCAGATACAATATATGGGTGCTTAAAGTTCCTCATCCTTACTTAACTTATTCAAGAATGTGAAATGATCCCTATTCTCTCTTGATTAACCTGACTTACCAGTTACTAAACAAATCATATACAGTAATTACAGCAGGGAGTAAACCTCCTTCCAATCTTTCTCATCTGTCATGTTCATACCCAACCCAGTTCAGTTCCTTTGCAAACTATTGACAGAAGATGAACAGAATTCTTCATGAGAATAAGCTCATGCAGACTGATGCCACTATAAATCTGATGGACTACAGTATTTCAAACCAAAATGTGGCTCTGAGGGATTTGGAAATATCCCAAACTTAATGCAGTTTTTTACAACCTGGCATCCTCCATGTGTTTTGAAACTACATCTCCTAAAATTCTTTGCCAATGTTAACTAGAATTATCATAATGCTAACACATCTGAAAAGTTCCAAATTGCAGAAAGTGATCTAAAGCAGTGGTTGCCAAGCAGCAGGCCGGGGACCACTGGTGGTCTGCAAGAAAATTTTGGTGGTCTGCAGAGAAATGTCACCCCCAAAGCAATTAATCCAGGCTGTGCTGCCCACATGGCCCACGGGAACACAAGGCTTGCGTCGCTTGCATTGCAAACGCAAGGTAGTGAGGGGAGGGGGGAACTTGCCTCACTCGCTTCACATGCCTTGCCTGGCCACTGGGCTGCTTCTTTCCGCTTCTTTCTTCTTCTGCTTTTGGCTGCACACAAGGAAAGCAGCAAGTCTTTCTTTCTCTTCCCCAAACTCTGCCAGAAATGAGTCTTTGGGACCCTGCAAGGCATCCTGCTCCAAGAGGCTGCGACTCATTTCTGGTGGAATTTGGGGGAGAGAAAGAAAGACTCCTGCTGCTTCTACTGCTTTCCTTGCATGAAGTTGAAAGTCACTCTCTCTCTCTCCCCGAGAACAGAGCTGGAGACGGTATCTTGCGATCCCAAATAAAGAATGATCGATCGGTAAGAAAATAGGGTGGGGGATTTTACTGCAGACTTTTGGGATTTTCCCAGGGTCTCTGGTCCACAGGATTTAAAATTAGGAGTTTGGTGGTCCCTGAGGTCCAAAAGGTTGGTGAGCCCTGATCTAACAAATCTCACTGACTATAGCATTTCGTTTCCTTTTTTACATAAACTGAAAAAAGGGGGGATGCATACCCAAGACAGAGGCTGTGGAACTGGCTGTCATGAGGTCCTTAGAGCAGAGGTCCCCAAACTTGGCAACTTTAAGACTTGTGGACTTCAACTCCCAGAATTCTCCAGCCAGCTGTGCTGGCTGGAGAATTCTGGGAGTTGAAGTCCACAAGTCTTAAAGTTGCCAAGTTTGGAGACCTCTGCCTTAGAGGATGCTAATGCTATTCATTCAGCACAGCCTGCATTTTTTTCCAGCTTCTGCCTGAGCTGAGCTACTATTGTCACTTCATTAATGTTAATGCATTTCTTCAAGATGCCACATCTTTTTTTCCCAAAGCACACGACCCTTTTTATATCTACTAAAAATTAAAAATATATATATAATCTATACACAGTTGCAGCAACTCAAAATATGATATTGCCATACTTGAGGAAGACAAGACATAATTACAAGTAACAACTGCCTTAGATGAAGAAGCAACCAGAATTGATTTCAGGATAAATGCAGAGAAATCAAAGGTCACGTATGCGAACTCCACTGCACAGATGCAAGGAATCATATTTGGATCACAGCAACTTCAGTGTAGAAAATTTTGCCTATTTGGGTGGTGTACAGATGGACATCAAGTTCCACATTGGAAAAGCAACAGGTGTTTTTCAGAGGATGAATAAAATCTGGTCCTCATCATCTGTATCACTGAAACTTAAATTGTGTTTGCTCACTTCTATAGTAATCTTGATAGCCATTTATACCAGTGGGGCCTGGAAGGCATCAGTATTAACATGTCTTCCAACAAAGATGCTTTGCTGAATCCGAAAAGATTTGCTATTTTGACCATGTTATTAACAAAGAAGTGCTTTGAAACAAAGTAACAGAGTTTTTCCTGCAAATTATGTAACATTGTGGCATGTAGATGACTGACTTGCTGTAGATTGTGGTGGGCCGCAGAGAAATCTCACCCCCAGAGCACCCCCACAAAGCAATTAATCCAGGCTGCACAGAAACACAAGGCTGCTCATCCCACATGGCCCGCGGGAACCCTCCCTGCCCACTCACTCCTTACCCGGTAAACTTGCCTGCTAAATTGCTATTTTTCCTTTTTCTGACCATCATCTGTTCGGCTGTGCCGGGAGATTTAGATTAGCTAGGAAGCAGAAAATGGTTGGATTTCTTGCTTTCTAGCTAGTCTTTAGATCTTCGGCTCTGCTTTAAAGTACAGCCGAACCTCCCTTAGGACTGAAGGTTTGCTTGCAAGCAAATTCAGTGCAGACTCACAGCAAGCAAATTTGAGAGACTGAGCTAGCCGATGGCAGATAGATAGATCATTGAATGATTCTGTGAGCAACTCAATCTGCCTGCTTTGCCTGATATTGGGTAAAAGTTGCTTTTTTTAATAAAAAAAATTCAATATTTACATACATGGTGTGTTGTGAGTTAATTTTGTGAGTTTGCTTGTTAGCAAATTTTATGTGACAGACTGAGCTAGCCAATGGCAGATAGATAGATCTCTGAATGAATCTGTGATTCTGGAAGCAACTCAATCTGCCTGCCTGCTTTTTGGGTAAAAGTTGCTCTTTTTTATTAAAAAAAATCAATATTTATATATTTATATTTACAAGCCATGCCCAGCCAGTCACATGACCACCAAACCACACCCACAAATTAGGCCATGCCCACAGAACCAGTTAGTGGTCCCTGGGATCTAAAATTATGAGTTTGGTGAGGTCCAAAAGGTTGGCGACCCCTGCGGTAGATGACCAGGCTGAGCCTGAGTTTTCAAATGCATCATAAGTCACAAGTCCCTACACCCCTGCAAAAGATCTAAGTCCACCCCATCTTGAATGCCTTTCTTATCTCCCACTCATTTCCCTTGACCGCTGGTTGGTCAAATTCTTGTAGAGAGATTAAACTTGCAATCTTTTGAGCTGCCTGAATTGATTTCCCCAGCGCTTGACACTTGCGGATCATATACTCTGTATGGATAACAATCAAATTCCCAAGATGGCAATGAGTTGAACCCTACCCCCATCCCACTCCCCCAATGCCAAATGACCAAGAGGACACCCTCAAAATACATGGCCAAGAATGTCAATTGATGACTTAAAGACTTTAAACATCACATGGGAAGATAGTGAAGTATGCACCCAAAAATACTGCAGATCGTTGCTGCCTGATATTCTACATAAGCATAGGAGGATCTAATGCTAATGCTAAATTCAAAAGAATATAGAAAAATACAATCAGTGCTATGAGCTAATATAGATGTTGTTACAATTGATTGGACTAATTAATAAATCAATGATCCCTTACTAATAGAGCTATGTTTGTAGGCAATTAGTTCTAAGAATGAGGAGGGAACCAGACAGGAAAGGCTATTTTACAATTTAAATGTTATTGACTACAGAAACAATTTGACAGTTAAATATTACCAAAAGCTATTCCATCTGAACTCAGACAGAATCAAATGTTTAATCTTATGAGGAATGGAGAACTGGTTACTAAAATCAGACATTATCTGAAGTCCCACTAAACATGTTTCTATTGTTCCAACTTAAAAAGACTAATCATTTTCAAGTTGGGCTTTATTTTGGGAGATGTAATGTATTTTTCTTGGGAAGCTACAGAAATGTTTGCCATTGTCTTCTTCCAGAATGTTTCAATTTCCCAATCTAGACCTGGGATTTCTTGATCCACCGATCCCTAACTGGCCTTGGTTCTGCTTAACTTTTTGAAATCAGCCAAAGTAATAGAAATGAAGTCTTTTAGAGCTATTTATCCAGCCCAGGACTATCACAAAGTGGCCCGCAGGCCGGATGCTTCACGTGCTGGCCATGCCCAGTTTAGCAAAAGGGGGAAAAGCTGCAATACATCATGTGACACTGCCGTGATGATGCGAGTTTGACACCCCGGATCTAGCCAATGTAGTGGTATCTTCAGCAGTTCTCCATGTTAATCTACAATGGCAAAAGAAAATAAATCAGGAGTCTAATAGTATCTTTTCGCACCTAAAATCTTTTCCAAATATTTTAGTCTTTATAAACATTTGTGCCACTCTCATAAATGGATGCTTTTAATATGTTAATTGGAAAAGTCACTAGATTCCTCATTTTTAGAAATCCCCTTAAATTTGATAAATTAGCACCAGCAGACTCTGAAATGTGACACGTGCTATTTTAAAGCATTATATTACAACTTAAATGTTCATCAGATCCCAGGAGTGCTCCAAAAGAGCCACTGAGACAGTCTGCCTGAAAACTCTGCAATTTTCCTCTAATCTGGGTTTAAAGTTTCCGACCTTACCGCGTTGATAACCAGAATCTGACTTCTGGCTCTTCCTAGTTCCTAATCCCACCAGGAGGCCCCCATCTCCCTCCATGTTCCCATCCCCCAAATAATAGAGAACTTAGTTTCATTGAGGCTTCGGAATTTTCCCCCCACTTCGGCTCTCTGCATTTTTCACCCAACCCAACAGCTTCACGAAAACCCTCTTTTCGTGAGGACGACCCGAAAAACCGCCGCCTCTCTGCGAGACATAAACAGGCAGCCATCAACAGGGAGTCCCGAAAGAAGCAAACCACTTAACCCCGGCCACAGGGCGCATTTGCGTCTGGCATTTCCAGACAAGCGTGGGCATATCCGAACTTGGCCCGGAGGAATGCGAGCTGATTTGACGCAGGAAGAAAAAGAGACGACCTCGGCCGCTTGCGTTTGGCGGGAACTGTTTTCTTAACTTTGCCCCATTACGAATTGCCCTATGGCCGCCCGCGAATGGATAAATTCATAGTTGCTACCCAATGACGAAGAGACGGCTGCTTCCCTACTTTCGGTTCCCACTCAATAGCGCGCTAGGGGAGGCGTGAGGAGACGGCGGAGCTACCCAATGCGCTGCAAGGAGAAAAGCGCTCTTTTGGGGTCTCTATATAAAGGCGGCCCAGGGAGTGAAGCAGCTGTTTTCGCGGTGCTGTTCAGACCCGTAGCGCGTCTGCTGTCGCCAGAGCACCGATAACTTCGGAAAGCCTTAGCCTGCCGGAGAAATGGTAAGAGCCGCTTGAGTTTTTTTTTTTTTTTTTTTTACTCTGGGACTGTTTTGTGCCTTTTCCAGGGACTTGGTTAATAAAGCCTCCGTACGGCCACAGGTGGGGCGTTATGTAATTGGTAAAGGGCCCCTTTACCAAAAGTTTTACTTAAAAAAAAAAAAAAAAGACGGCCTGACTACTCCACGTTCTAGGCCTCGTAATTCCCGCGTCCAGATCCCTAGCGAGAGCGGCCACGTCGTGAACTTGGGTCCCTCTGGACAGCCTGGACAGCGTTTGCTTCGAAAAAGGGGGCTGGGGCTGCGTAGCGAAGAGGTCCGAGTGAAGGAAAGGGCTTTCCGGAAGCAGAGGTCGCCTGCCTGAGAGCCTACGTCTTTTCCCCAAAGATGGTGCCTTTTCCTGCCAAGAAGCGCGCTCGTTTTCCGCTGATGCTCCTTTCCCGATATCTGTGGCCCAGATTTTCAGAGAGAAGGCAGCGAAGTAGCGCTGCCGCCGCCACTTCAGAGTGCGGTGTTTGTGGTGGGGTCGGTTTACGCTTTACTCGGAGTTTCACCGGGTGAGGCTCTTTCATTAAGCTTTTGAGATGTATGTGGTCGAGGGCTGCACGTATGTCCAGAAGTCGAGAAGAAATTAAGAAGCCAAGACCCGGGCGGACAATCACAGAAAAACCTTCTCTTTGTCTGAAAAAAGGGGGGGCGGAAGGGATGCCAAAGAAACTTTGATCTGCCACCCTCATGCCCGGCTCTTTTAAATTCCGCGAGTTTTCATGACTGTTCACCAGCCATTATCTTTCTGTGGGATTTGGGCCTCTCTGTATAAAGTTGTAACCGATTGGAACATTTCTGGCCGTTTGAGTTTCGTACTTTGTACAATGCAACTTTGTGCATTGACATAAAATGGTGGAAAAGTTCTAAATAAGATGGCTGCCTCTGTTTTTTCTCTTCTGATATTTCAACACTCTTATGACAAAATCTCGTAAATCTATTTTTCACAATGCAATCTGGCTCAAAGTTCATGTTGTTTAAGTAATTTATCCTTTTATTCTAATTGTTTTGTTTCTTCCTAAATTGTAGTTCAGATTCTTAATGCTTACATAATTCCAAAATATTTTGTTAGATTGTAACTATTACTCTTTTTTTATACATTGATTTAACCAAGTATAGCTTCATATTGCGGTCTGGTGAAAAGTAAGACAAATCCTAACTTAGAATCCTAAGCCTAAACATGTAGAACAATCAACTAAAATCAAAATTCTCTATCAGACATTTCTGCACATAATTAAAATGGATTTATATCTACAATATTTAAGCTGTCGCCTTTAATGACAATTATGCAAAGAATGAACTGATGACTAAGGAAGACTCCTATGCAGAGTCACAAATTATTCCAGTTTTACAGTCCTCTAGACATTGATGCAGTCAAAAACTGATGACCAGGAGGTGCTTAACTATAATGCTGGTGCATTACTAGGTAGATGGCTGCAATGTTCACTGCTCTATTCCTCTTTTTGGATGATGGGCACCCTTGGAATTTTGAACACCCTCCACCAAACAACTGTCAATATGAGAGAGGAACTATTTTTTTCACCAACTGTTTGGCCCCGACAATTGCATCCATTTACCAAAAAATCAAATTAGTAAATCTGCCTCACAGAATTCAAGCTACCTGCTTTTTCCCCCCTGCACAAATATATGACTATAAGAAAAGGGATGGGTGGACATAGTAGGCATAAAGAGGTATCTTTGGACTCACCTGGCACTCCCGAGTATCTGTGTATTTACACATAGTGGAAATAGTTTTTCCCCATGACTTGAGGGAGTAAATGGCTTTACATTTTTATCTTTATAAAGTATAGATTTTCTTTGACCAGAGGCACTGGGTGTAGGAAATGAGGAAAAGAACATAGGTTGTCCTGTCTGACATACATAAAAGGGGTGATAACTTGCGGCATATTACTGTTTTTATCATTTTGCTAAAAACATAGGATCCTGCAGATACTTCTCACCTGGTCAGATTATTTGTGATGCCCAGGTCATAAAACCTAGCTACACTTAAAATACACCTCGTTTAATTAGAAGTTATGATGAACTTCATCAGAGCTATTTTTAAAATTCTAATGGCTGCCCCCCCCCTCCAAAACCCCTGCATTGTCACATTATCACATTTTGTGGTCTTTGCAGCTGGTTCATATTTATGATCATCTGCCGCATCCCGTGCTCACATGACCCTGATTTTTGTAGGTTTGTGGGGTTTTTTTTGCTAGTTTCTGGCAAAAACCAGAAAACTGTTTCACTTAAATGACCCTGGTGTTCACTTAACAATAACTGACAACAAGGTTGTAAAATTGGTCACCAATTTATGACTGCCACCACTGTAATTCCAGCTTCAATTAGGCTCATAAGTCAAGAACTACTTGTATTATAACTTTTCCCATCCTGAAGCTTTCACAATGCTAGCCAGAAATTCTGGGATGGAAATTCCTATATTTATAACCAACTGTTTCAAAACAAGGGCTATTTTATAAAATGAAAGTGAAATATGTTTTTATAGAATATGAAGTAAATAGTGGAGTCTTATTCTAGCACTGATGTAAAGTTTCAAGGAATTGATAACTCCTTAAAAGATGATTGTCCCTTAAATTCAAAAGAAGCTGGTAGTCACCTATTTCCCTTTGGTGAATTAGTTGGCACTTGCCTTTTAGTTTATGGTAAAGAAGAAAGAGGAAACATTACTAATTTCCTGTCTGTCTCTCTCTCCATAGCGTGAATGCATCTCAATCCATGTTGGCCAAGCCGGTGTGCAAATTGGCAATGCATGTTGGGAGTTGTACTGCTTGGAACATGGCATTCAGCCTAATGGCACAATGCCAAGCGACAAAACAATTGGTGGTGGAGATGACTCATTCAACACCTTCTTCAGTGAGACGGGGGCAGGAAAGCATGTTCCTCGTGCTGTATTTGTGGATTTGGAACCAGCAGTCATAGGTAAATATGTCTTACATGGCTGTAGTAAAAGGGAGAAATGTGAAAGTGGTTTAACAGAAAGATGTTGAGATGTTAAAAACCTCCTGTTTTATATGTTGCCTTCTGGACTTTATAAATAAAATTTATAGAAGTGTGTTACCCCTACTGTATAGTTGGATCAAACACAGAATTTATTTCTAAATGTATAACCTGTTTTATTTAGATTTTGATACTTCATAACTCTTGAAAAATCAGATAGTGTTTCTCTTTGCCCTTTGCTACTGTGTATTCTCATGATTAGTTTGTAGCTTTTGGAATACTTGGCACAATGAATCATGTTCCTATTAAGTGTCCAGTTAACATATAGATTAAAATCTGTAACTAGGTAATAAGAATATTTATGTGCTCTTTCAATAAGTTTATCTCATCTATTTCCCAGAGAAGAAATCCCAAGTAGCAAGAGAGTCTTAAAATTACATGATAATTTGTTAAAGTTTCATCTTTCACAATAAAAATTTGAAAACCAGAAACCATTATAAAAAATATTATAAATGGTTGGAATATATAATCTGTATTTCCTTATCAAACCTAAAACCTGTAGTGATTTTGTGAATATAAAATGGATTATTTATGGAAAACTGGAAATTGCTTGGAAGGGAAAATAAAACCATTCTAAAAAGGGTTTTTTCTGTCTTCAAACCCCTGCAGGATATCAATTTTAATACCTTATCATTTCTTACATTTATAATTTTAGGTATTATAATCTTAGGTATTGAGAGGTTATGGTTTAAACAGCGATACTCTGAGACAATGAGGAAGTAGAATGTGAACAATAAATTATTTTCTAGATTTTCACTGTAGAATAATGTGTGTATTCTATTGCAGATGAAGTGCGGAATGGGATCTATAAGCAACTCTTCCATCCTGAACAATTGATTTCTGGCAAGGAAGATGCTGCTAACAATTATGCAAGAGGTCATTACACTGTGGGAAAAGAAATAATTGACCTTGTATTGGAGCGGATTAGGAAGTTGGTATGTCTTAATGTTTTAAACTTGTCAGACATACACTGAGATTTAGCACGAGCATAAATCAAATCTAAAACAACTTGTAAGTGCAGTGGTGGGCTGGGCCCGCCCAGGCATTATCCCATCCTATGTATCTTATCTTTTTGCTTGCGCATCCCGCCCTTGCAGCCCAGCTGCTTTCTGGGCCTCGCCCGATCTACTCACCCTGGTTGCCATGTGCAGGAAATTTCCTTGTTTTTGCAGCCATGCATAAGCGCTCACATTTTCAGTGAGCCGGATGTTAAAGTATGTGCAGCCCACTTATGTGTAAGTGCCATAGGTAGATTAGCTTATTGGCCTGGGGGATGCAATATAAAGTTTTTTCCCCAACATTAAGAAAAATGTCATTGGCTGAAACGAAGAGGATAACATGTGATACGGAAAAGTGCTTATCCCAGGCATTCCTGGAGGCTTCTCTGCCCACTAATAGTTACACCTACAATGGCTGGGCAAGTAGTAATTGATTGGGTGGCAAAGCTACTGTTCCTTCACAAAGTCCTCTCTTCCTGGGAGGGAGAAAGGCTGGGCTCCAGGATGCAGTTGTCATATCAATATAATCCTGATCTTGCAACAACCTGGCCATGACAATCAAGGGGAACTTACCAGGTGAAAATGGCAATGACCTCTGAGTATGTTTGTGGGCTGTGCTTTGGGGGCACTATTACCTAGCCAACGGACAGAGTACAATACCCAGGTGGAGAAATGAGAGCTCAGAGAGCAAGGACCCCTTTTGTCATTTGAGGTACTCATGGACAACACTTTTCCTACTGATATTGATTCCTTCAATACAAATCAGTTAGAGCAATCCTAGAGCCAAACGTTGGAACTACTCATTTTTCTGTTCATTTTTTTCTTCTTGATTTCCCCTTCATTCTCTTCCGATATTATCTTCTCTCTTTCCTTCCTGGGGACAAGGGTCAAACCAGTGATGCCAGTGGTCTAAACTGACAACTTGCAAGAACCTTTGAGATTAATCCAAGGGCTCTGGTTGCAAATATGTCCACTTAGAATAAGGGGTTTGGACAAAATAATGTAGTTCCTGGTTTGGTTTAGTTTAGTTTAGTTTACTTTATTGTCATTGCACCTCGTACAATGAAATCAAACACCATCTTCAGTGCACATCATGACCATAAAAATAAACACAAACACACATCCTTCATACTCCACACATTGAACCTAAAACCACCAACACTGCACTATACAGTAGAATTCAAAGGAGCTACTGCCCTGGGATAGAAGCTGTTTTTCAGCCTACTTGTGCTTGTTTTTATTATTCTGTACTGTCTGCCAGATGATAATAGTTCAAAAAAAGGGTTCCCAGGATGAGATGGATCTTTGAGAATATAGTTATATAGAAAGATCTTACTGAGGAATCAGTGCTGGATAAAATCCCTTTCTTTCTGAATTTTCCTTACAGATCAGAACAACAATTTCTTGGCAAGGAAATTCTTGCTACTTTATTATAGGATATAAAAAAGAAAAGGGCAAACTTATAGTACTGTTGTAATGTAATATTCATATTCTTCTTTCAGGCAGACCAGTGTACCGGTTTGCAAGGATTCCTGATCTTCCACAGTTTTGGAGGAGGCACTGGTTCAGGTTTTACTTCTCTGCTGATGGAACGCCTGTCAGTTGACTATGGAAAAAAATCAAAACTCGAATTTGCCATATACCCAGCTCCTCAAGTTTCAACTGCTGTTGTTGAGCCATATAATTCCATATTAACTACGCATACTACTCTTGAACATTCTGATTGTGCCTTCATGGTTGACAATGAAGCTATCTATGATATTTGTCGGAGGAATCTAGACATTGAGCGCCCAACATACACCAATCTCAACCGCCTCATTGGTCAGATTGTTTCATCCATCACTGCTTCTCTCAGATTTGATGGTGCCTTAAATGTAGATCTGACAGAATTCCAGACAAACCTGGTGCCTTATCCCAGAATTCATTTTCCCCTAGTCACATATTCCCCTATTATTTCAGCAGAGAAAGCCTATCATGAGCAACTCTCTGTCTCCGAGATCACCAATGCTTGTTTTGAGCCATCCAATCAGATGGTGAAATGTGATCCTCGCCATGGCAAGTACATGGCCTGTTGTATGTTGTACCGTGGAGATGTTGTCCCCAAGGATGTCAATGCTGCCATTGCTGCTATCAAGACAAAGCGTAGTATTCAATTTGTTGATTGGTGTCCTACTGGTTTTAAGGTAAGTATTACTGATATGTATTGTAAATGGCATATTGTCTAAATGTAGATTTCTGAATAAATGTAGTAGAAACATGCAACTTTGAAATGATATAAACAGCATCATGATTTACAGTGCAATTAAAATTATAGTTGTGTACATAGCAGCTGAAGGATTTTTCTCATGGTTCTGATAGTTAAGATGCTACCATAGATATATAGAAACTGCATGCAGGATTGTGCAAATTGAACATTTCTTTTAACAGCAAAATTGCTTTTGGGGATGATGTTGGGATATTTCCTGACAAATGCAAATAATTAAGAGTTTTGCTTTATTTCAATTTTTCTATGAAAAAGGCAATAATTTAATACATTATACAGATTCAGTTGTGGTGCTTAAAATAGGCATAGAACAATCTTTATAGGATTTCTGTTCTCTATGTAAATGCAGCACATTCTGATATGCAAATGTAGACATGTTACATACTACTTGGATGTACGATATCCTGACAATGTCTATTTCTGTAACTATAGGTGGGTATTAATTATCAGCCCCCAACAGCAGTTCCTGGTGGTGACTTGGCTAAAGTCCAACGTGCAGTTTGCATGCTCAGTAATACCACAGCCATTGCAGAAGCTTGGGCCCGTCTGGATCACAAGTTTGATTTGATGTATGCCAAGCGGGCTTTTGTCCACTGGTATGTAGGAGAAGGAATGGAGGAAGGAGAATTTTCTGAGGCCCGAGAAGATTTGGCTGCACTTGAAAAGGATTATGAAGAAGTGGGCACTGACTCCTTGGATGGTGAAGATGAAGGTGAAGAATATTAAAACTCTTTAAATATTGTGAGGCTGTTGCCATTTGCTACTTTGCCTGTGTTACCAAGAAAATGCATCTTTACATCTCAAATGTAAACATCTAGCATTCCATAATAAAGTACTTGGAATAAATTCTTATAACCAAAGAAAGCATCAGTTGTTGATCCAAGCATTAAATGTTTAGCTGGGATACAAATAAAATGATCTTGCATATCAATATGGAGTGGTCTCATTATAGCATATTCTTAAACACAGACATTTTCACTGAGTATTTGCATATAGTAAAAATTTTCTATTTTTTTAACTGGGAAACATCATTTTTTACAATTTCAATAAAATATTGCTTGCAAATTAATAAAACAGATGTTCTTAAAAGAACGTCACAAGTATCCTTTATACATATTTATACATATCTTTGTAAGTTTCACATGCATTTAACATCTATTCAGTTGAAACTTTCTCATTTTTTCATCACACAGTGCTGTCAACTTCAGTTAGCAAAAAGCCAACAACTACTCACATCAAAAGTTATATATTTCAAACATATATTTCCAGACTTTCTCTAATCCCAAAATGCATACTTTTTTCCCATATATCAAGAGCCAGCAAAAATCTGGTCTATAACCCTGCCTGACACAAGCTGCATTTCACATATCTTATTCAGTTTCATGACATTCTGTAAGAGAATTTGGATGTAGTTGCAGCCTTTGAATAATAGATGGGGCATTTTTTTTTTGAGTTGATATTTTAATGAGGTGGAATGATAGAAAAATTAATCATAGTGATGAACCAATCATTTCCTAGAATGAGCCTACTTAGATTTCTTGTTCCAGCATTTGAAGATATAAAGTAGCGTGTTAAACAAGGCCTGGGAATATCAATATCTGAATTGCAGGTTTGTTGGATGTCCATGATGTCAAGTCAGATATTGCCAGTTTAAGCAGGCAGGAAATATTTTCAGCTAATGGGTATACAAGAAATGTGGAGAGCTTTCAACTGGATACTCTCAGCAAATGGTTGCTGGGAGAAGTCTGCCATAAAGCACAAGGTCAGTTATGCTACCAGTTACGTGAGGCAAATGGGTGACGGGTACCTTGCCAACCTCTAAGCTCCAGAAAAGATTCTATCAGCCTAGGTTACATTAGCTATTCACATTATTTCCATACTATTACATTACCAATAGCTCTAAAAGGGATCCAATCAAAGGGTAGTTTAATGGATTGAGGATTCTGTAACAGATCACTTTTAATGTTTTATAATGTAGCTAGTATCCACATCATGATCTCAATTCAAATAATTTAGAATTAATCTAATCTCCAAACTCAATTGACACCCTCTTTATTAACCTGGTCTCAGAAGACAGCTGTTACTAGTTGGTCTTGACTGTTCTCAACAGAACTGAACAGAGTACGTGGATGGCAATGCACCAAGGTACCTTTTAACTGAAACACACTAGAAGCTTTTTTAAAACTCTGGAAGGAGACTACAGATCATCCTCAATTTACAACTATTCATTTAGTGACTATTTGAAGTTACAATGGCACTGAAAAGTGACATGGCTATTTTTCACACAACCAGTGCATGATCACGTGATCAAAATTCAGACACTTTGACAACTGGTTCATATTTCTGACAGTTGCAATGCGCAGGAGTCAAGTGATAATCTTTTGCAACCTGAGTAGCAAAGTCAATGGGGAAGCCACATTCACTTAACCCTGTTACTAACTTAACTTCAGTGATTCACTTAACAACTGTAGCCAGAAAGATCGTAACATGGAACAAAGCTCACTTAACTGTCTTGCTTAGCAACAGAAATTTTGGACACAATTGTCATAGGTCAAGGACTACCTGTAGCAAAAACATTTGTATTCTTGTAAAGACAATAAAAAATTGGATAATTGATTATTGACTTTAGAAGGCCATGACTTGCTGCTGGGATGGCATGCCTTTCTCTGGTATAAGGGAACTAAAACATGGATATTTTAGAAGACATTCGTGAGGCATTGTTTTTGAGCTGGGAGAAGATTAAAAGACAATATTACTTAAAAATTCCAACATGGATATCAACTATTGAAGCTTTCTTATCCAATAATATATAAAAAGGAACAAACAGATATGGGGAGTTATTGAATGAAAAGGGTGAACTTAAATCTATGCAAACGTTGCAAGAACAAGGTGTAAAAATGAATTGGTTTTCTTATTTGCAAATACAATCTAGGTTTGATAAAGACTCCAAGGCAGAAGGTATTTATGATAAGTTGACCGACTTAGATAAAATTTTGATGGGTACTGATGAAAAGGTAATTAAAAAACTTTATGGATATCTATTAGAATTTAAATTGGAGGTGGAGCAAGTTAAAGAAACGATTGCTTGGGGAAAAATTTTTGGATATGGGATTGATTTGGAAAAATGGCAAAAATTGTGGTCTCAAAATTACAAAATGACAATGTCAACTGCATATAAAGAAAATTCGTATAAGATGTTTTACAGGTGGCACCTACCCCCGACAAGACTTGCAAGAATGTTTAAGAATAAATTGGATAAATGCTGGAAATGTCATCAGATACCTGGTTCATATTACCATATGTGATGGACATTTTTCAGACGCAAAGAAATATTGGACTAAAATCCACACATGGTTGGAAAAAAATGATAAAACAGCATTTAGACTTTAAACCAGAGATCTTTTTATTGGGAGTCATACCAGACATATATAATAAAGAACTGAAATATTTATTGTAAATGTCTTAACAGCAGGTAGAATTGTATTTGCGAAGAACTGGAAAAATGACAAAATACCTATGCAGGAGGAAGTTATCAAAAAAATTATGGACTATGCTGAAATGAGTAAACTGACGTTTGAAATTAGAGAACAAGAAGATAAGCAATTTTATACGATATGGGATTTTCTCAATGGTTGGATAAAAAGACATGGTAATACTGTATAATAGACTAGATAATTTTGTGATAGAAATCTAATAGATTGATATAAAACATAATACAGATATATATAACCACTGGTTGAAAGTATAACATAAATTTTAGGATAAAATGTGTGGAACATCCCGTATAAAACGATGGAATAGTTTAGTCATGGATGACTAATAACTGATAAATATATAAACATATGTTAGTTTGACAATGTGAAGATTGATAAAAATTGTGAGTAAATGGCTACAAAAGTATAGCACAAAAGATACGTAACCAACTGACACACTGTATGTATATAAAATAGAAGAGGATTTTATGTTTTTATGTTTTTGTATGTGTATGTTTGTGTTTAAAAATAAAAAACTATCTAAAAAAAAAATTGGATAATTAAGTCACCAGGAGTTATGCTTAACCTTTGGAAGGCTTCAAGAATAAAAGTCTTGCCTGTGTTGTGAAATAGAACTTTTGTGAAAGACAAATTTACAATGGAACTTTTTTTATTTTGCATTTACTGACATTTATATTACCCTCATCTTAATGGATTTACAGTAATGTGCTTATTGTAGCATGTTAACCATACTTAACTATGAAATCTTGTCTTTAGACATTATATTATAGCAAATTCTCACTCCTCCACCCACATTAAAATAGTGTCCTGCAGAAACCTGTTAAACCTGCTTATTATTCTTTTTGTATGTGCTATTTTCATGCTGTTCTCCATCTAATTTCCTGCTGAGGTCTGATGAATGTCAACTGTAAATGAGTATATTTTGCAAAGGGGTGCTTAAAAGAGATTAGCCCTTTGGGTTTAAGTTGTGCACTGTTTTTAATGGATGGGTCTTCCTTTGAAGTTGGAGGAAATCTGCCTGTAAAAGACAATCTGGTTAGACAAACAGCAAGTTCCTGTCACTGGTAGATATTTCATGTGATGTCTAGTGTCTAGTGAATCTGGCCATTACTGTTTTGTTGAGCTAGTCTTGTCATTTTTAAAAAAGTATAGATTAAATAATAAACAGGATTAGAAATAACCCAAATTTAATTTCACTTTTGCGTTCAGGAAAATACTCATGGTGATTGGTGCACGTTTGTCCTACATTTCACCTAGTAATGATTGATAATGTGGAAAAAAAATGCCATCTGCATTAACAATTTTCTTTGTCATTGCCCAGAGCAGAGAGCGCTTTATTTTAAATATGTCACTTTCCAGTCACAAGTTGTTCTTGGCAAAAACAAACCAACTAAAACACTTATAATACTTTTGAAAATAGGTCAACTTCTAATTTACAAAGGTTTCAGGGGAAGCACTGAACAGAATGGATTCAGTGAGCAGTTGTCTCCAATCTGGTTCTTCATTATGTGTTGGAGTTCTATTTCCCCATGTTCCAGTCAACGCTGCTTATGGTTAGTCTGACTCAGAGTGATGATCTAAATCAGGGGTGTCAAATTCATGGTGTTACATTTTCGTCAGGTGATGTATCGTGACTTCCCCCCCCCCCCATGGGTGGGTGTGGCCAGCATGTGACGCATCTGGCCTGCGAGCTGCGAATTTGACACCCCGATCTAAATCAATGTTTTTCAACTTCAGCAACATTAAGATTTGGCTGGGAATTCTGGGAGTTGAAGTTCACGCATCTTAAATTTGTTGGGTTTCTTTGTTAAATTTGTATGTCGCCATCTCACTATCAAGCAACTTGAACTAAATCATCTGGAAGTACTAGGTTGAAGTATGCTATAACATATTTCACCTTCTCAGGGGAGAATAACAGAGTACAGTTCAGTGTTAGTATTACTTATTCAATGCTGGTTTGAGAAATGTCATAATATGTAAGTATCAGATTTATATCATGCATTATTACAAACCAGAATAACTGGATTGGTACATCATGCTAAAATCAAATCAAAAACACACAGTTGTTTACTGATACACATTAATTCAGCTATGAAAAAAAAATACTAGCAATTAACATTATTTTCCCAATGAATTTTATTAGATAAATTCCAGACTTAACTAAGACTTGATCCAGTCAATGAATTTTGCACCAATTCTTCTGCTACCTTTCCAAAAGAGATGAACTGTATTCTTTCACTATGTAATTTTATTTTAAATAAGTAAAGTAGCAATGGAGAATACCTGCTAATGAAATTATTATCCTGTCCTTGACATTGGTGGCAAGTCCATGTTTATATCTTTGATAAATCATCTACCATTCTACCACTTCTCTTGGAGCATACTGTCTTTAAAAGCTGTTTATATTTTTACTTTTATATACATACCATTAATTTTT